AAATATGTTAGATACTGTCATCCAAGCTTGTTCACCTAGCAGGGCTTCCGTTCCTGTGTAAGCCTGGTACACAGTGGGAGGTGGGGGACCCAGATTCCTGCATCTTTTGTCATTTCCTGGTTTCTGTGTGTTCAAAGAGACATTTGTTGGGTTCAGAGTGCTTCACCCATTCAAAAGTATTTGGGGTGTCTCTGTCTATCAACGATTTGGTTTCTACTCTCTGCCTTGCTTAGCGAGAACAGTGCCAGTCTGCTGTTCTATGGTGGCCATCCTGGATCATCCTGGATATTTACATTCTTACTGCAAAGTGAGAAAGGGAGGTACATACACATTTAACATCAGTTTAGAGCTGTGAGTCTGTCATACTTGGCTGAAGTGGAGAAGGAAGAGAGCAGGAGGCAGAATGAGAGATATCTATATTTGAATCTCAGCTGAGGGTGAAGGGTGGAGGTCTCTCTAACCCTCAGGCATCCAGGTCATCGAATGCTGCATTATTATGGTAGTTTTAAATTTTACTTGGTGACTTCTCCTTTGTTTGAACATTTTACTAGCAGTAATTCTGTGTTATATATATGTGTGTATGTGTGTGTGTGTGTGTGTGTGTGTATGTATACTCACACACAAATATAGATACATATAACTTTTTTTAAGTACATATACATATATGGAATGCATATATATTCATATGAAAAAATGTAAATTCAATCATGAGGAAAGTATATCCAGTGAAAATGGTGTTTTCTTCTTCTTTTTTTTTTTTGAGTTGAAGTCTCACTCTGTCAACCAGACTGGAGTGTAGTGGCATGCTCATGGCCTCTGCAGCCTCCATCTGCTGGGTTCAGGTGATCCTTCTGCCTCAGCTTTCCAAGTAGCTGGAACTATAGGCATGCATCACCATGCTCAGAACCTAGAGATGAGGTCTTGCCAATTTGCCCAGGCTGGTCTCGAACCCCTGGATTCAGGCAATCCTCTCACCTTGGCCTCCCAAAGTGCTGGCGCTTGGCCCCAAAAATGGTGTTTTCATGTACTCTATAGCTATTATTGTAGCTAGCTTTGTATTCTAGGAAGAAGAAACCTTCAGTTTTTTAGTATATTTTCTATTATATATGTACAAAATCAAAGTTCACACAAGGACACAGGCTTATTCTCATTAGCATAGATTTCTGTGTACAATTTCTTACCTCCCCTCAGACAGTAATATTCCATATATCATGTTTGCTATAGAGTAAATTACATTCTTCAAAATTCATATGTTGAAGACCTAACCCCTAATGTCACTGTCTCTGGAGGGAGGACCTACAGAGAATTAGTTAATGTTAAATAAGGTCATAAGATGGGACCCTGATTCAATAAGATTGGTGCCCTTAAAATAGAGACACCAGAGGGCTTAATCCTTCCACCATTGTCTCCTGTGTGAGACATGGGCGGGCGATGCGGGGGTGGGGT